TTTTTTTTTTTTTTTTTTATTGTTTTTCGTATGTTGGTATTAAGTAATTCAAGATTATCGATCCATTGTCTGTTGCATTAAATAGCTAAGCTTACGATAAAAAAAAAATAAAAATAGCTAAGCTTTTTCGTATGAATACTTGAGAGCGAAAAATTTAGTGACAACATAAGAGCGAAAAATTTAGCAGCGCAGTTCCCACAACTCCCAAATTGCTTCATATTTCTATGATGGCTGCAGAATTACGTCGAGCTTTCACTTTTCTGTTTTCCCCAAAACGAAACAAAATTATTAGAGAATCAATGCATCCGAGTTAAAAACTTATCTGGGTTTCTCTTGTAAATATTCAAGACTTCAGGGGTACTCTTTAATTATTCCCATGCATTTTGCTTATTTTCTTAGATGCTGTTGATTTCTTGCAAATTAAGTGGTAATTTGAGGAGCAAACTCATAGTCATCGAGTTTTTTTTTTTCTTTTTTTCACTGCCTTTGCATATAAAAAGAGTACTTGGTACTGTTCGAATTCATTTAGTAACATTTTTTTTTTTCCTATTTTTGTCATTTGCAGGTCGTAAACCCATTCACAAAATATCCTTTTTTCCAGTTAAATTTGTTGATCAGTTCATTTTGCTGAAAGTTCTCTTCATTTCAGTTAAAAGACTCTGCAAAACAAGTAAACAAGATAATTTTTCTTAACTCTAAATACATATGCGTTGACAATGACTCCTGTGGCATTGAGTCTCGAGGAGTTGATTCCATCTAGCCACATCAAATCGTACATGTACTCGATCCTCATAAGAACAGGGCTAGTTTTGTCCACATTGGTCCTTGGTTTGACCATCCCGTTTTTCGGTAAGTTCCAATATAGAGTTTAATTTCTTTGTTTCATGTCTGCTAATTTTATATTTACTTGGTCACAATTAGTGTTGTAATCGAGCTGAACGAGCCGAGCTTGGGCATTTCGAGCTCATGTTCCTTTACGTTCGAGCACTGTTTGTGTTGTTTCGTTTATTTTTCGAGCAAAAAAATCGTGTTCGAACTCGTTTTTAGTTGTTCGTAAAAGCTCGAGTTTGTTCGTGTTGGAATAATTTAGGACACAAACTTTTTTAAATATGTTTTGATTAACTCGATATGTGTTTGTTCGAAATCGTTTGAACTCGAAAAAAAAAAATATTTTTATATTTTAGTTTTTTTTAATAAAAAATTTCATGTAAATATACAAAAGAAAAAAAATTATATTAAATTAGTGTTCGCTTACGAGCGCGTTTTTGTTCGATTATTAAACGAGCCTATTTTTATGTTCGAACTCGGCTCGATTAACAAACGAACGAGCTCTTGTTGAACACGAACGAGTTTTTATTCGCTAACGTTCGGTTCGTTAACAGTCCTCATAACCTCTTACATGTTTGTATCTTTTTATTCCTCTAAAGTTGATTACAAAAACTACCATTAAATTTGATCAAATTTTGAAAAAAAAAAAAGAAGAAAACTTTGAAATTACAGAAGCCATCCTCGAGGTTACATTCTCGGCGGAACTAACGTAGATTATTGATATCACCCAATCAATCTTATTTACATCCTTCAACTTTTCTTAGTATTACAAATTATCCCAACTTCTGGTCTTGCATTTGCATACCTCAATTTTGCTATAATTATTACAAAAATACAGATATAAAGTTTGTATTCTTGCAGGTCTCGTCATGGCCTTGATTGGTTCTTTTCTTACAATGCTAGTCGTAAGTTCCCTTTATTACATTCTCGATTTCTACGAATATGCTCAACGTTCATGAGTGTTATGATGTTTTACTAACTGAATATAATTTGACAGACATTGATTCTCCCATGCGCGTGTTACTTGAGCATCTTAAGGGGGAAAGTAAGCTTATTTCAGGTAAAGAAAAATTTCCGTGTCGCTTTATATGAAATTAGACTATAAATGAAGAATGGTATTTTTAGTTCTATTACATATTTCTTCATGTCTCTCTTTCGAACTTAACTTCTAATTGAAAAATAAAAAATTGACATTATTGCTTCTCGATATTTTTGCTTTGTTTTACAGGGCTCGATGTGCGTGTTGATCATTGGTGTAGGCACGGTTTCGTCGGCCATTGGCACCTATTCTGCTCTTGCCAAGATTATAGAAAATTTGAGCTGATAAAAGTAAATTTTTGAGGTGTGTTTATATATAGATATAGATAATTTGTGAGCATTGCATATTGATTTAAGTATGTACCTCAATATCAAAACCTATAATTTTTGTGTATTCAACTTTCAATTCAAGTGTGATGAGCAAAGTTTTGTCATTTGTGGGATATGTGTTTGGGCTTGTAATATTTAAGTGAATAGTGTCGATTTGGGATTAAATTATTTGACGAGTGTTACCTGTTATATTTTTTATTTTTATTTTGTTTCTTTTATCCATTCTTCACGCAAAAATGCTTCCTAAAAAGTAAAAACCTATTATGTATTAGTATTGCTCGAAAAGGAAAAGGGGAATGTTATTTTTTTGGGCTAAATTGTAAAATTTAGCCACTAACTATTACACGGTGACAATACTAGCCACCAATATAGCTTGTAGCTTAGCAATGCAGGTTTTAAACATAGATTGAGATTTTATTGAGACGGCACGATATGAGCCTTCAGAACTATTCGACCTGCCCTTCTTCGATATGGTCTAAAGTTCAAATCGTTTGATTTTGGATGAACTAAATTATGATCATAAAAATCTAACTACCGAGAACAATGCGCTTCTTAGTCAAATGACCGACGGACATATGGGAGTCTATTAAAAAATTATGACAATTTTTGCCTCAAGTAGGGACATTGTAGTTTTTATATACGATTATGTTGGAACTAGTAAGTCGTAGTTGGAGAACTTTATCTGGCGGGTTAGGTCGAAGGTTGAATCGTGTTGTGTGTTGCCTCGAGTGTTAAGGTTTCAAATCAGACCGATCATTGAGCCGATCAAGCTACTGGTTCAATGGTTCACTGGTCGAACCAATGATTGAACAAATTGGACTGGTATTTAATTTATTAATATTTTTAAGTTTATATAATATTTCATATAATAAAAGTTATATATAAAAGCTTTGTAAATTAAATATTTATCCAATTTAAAATATTAAAATACTTAAAAATAACTAACCTATGTATATCTATTATATCTAGATATATGTATTTTTTATTTATATAAAAAATATTTTAAAACTTATTTTTTTATAAAATGATTGGACCGGTCCTTACCGACTTTGATGGGCGTTGACCAATGTTTGACCAGTTCGGTTGCCTATTTTAAAACTTATTTTTTTAAAAAATGATTGGACCGGTCCTTACCGACTTTGATGGGCGTTGACCAATGTTTGACCAGTTCGTTGGCAATCGGTTCATTCCTGCGAACTAGACCAACCCAACCGATCGGATCGGCCGATATGGTTTGGTTTTGACAACCATGGGAATAACATCTCTTCTACTGCCAGGTGGAAAGACTATACATTCTCGATTTGACATACCTCTTAACCTACCTAAAAATTTATCGTGCGAGATCAATCATTCTATTCATCTCGCAAAGTTGATGATACATTGTTCTCCGGTTATATGGGACCCAACAATGCACAAGTATTGTTTTGAAGTTGTAGGCAGTCATGAGAGAAATTGACCCGTCTATCGAGGTAAGCCTATTGTGTTTGATGGGA